CAGATGTAAAAGAATATCAAAGGTACATTTGTGTAGTTGCAGTAAGACAGACAAGGGTAGCTGAGATGATGGCATTTTTATGAGCCTAGCAGCGTATGAACAACGCGTCAGGAAACTTCTTTAAGTGTTTTCTTTGCATTATCTGCCGCTTGCTTTGAATCCGAACGCGCAAACATCCTACAAGATACGGAATAAGCTATTATTCTTTTAATGTTACATTTCAACATCATAACAAATTATCCGGTTAATCATCGTTATCCATTTAACCCAAACAAAACTAATTAGAAAATGTCTGAATTTATAAAGATTCCACTAAACTGTAAAAGGCCATTTTAAATACGTCCCCAACGCAGAACTGTACTCTTAACTTATCATACGAAATGTTAATAGCTATTTACATTACAAGTGTAGTAAGAGCGTTTTTACATCACGCAGGTGAATGTTGTGCAACGAGCGAAGGCGAGTTGCATAATTCACCGAAGTGATGTAAAACACGCTCTTGCGTAACGTGTAACGTACAAGATTTTACCTGACCCGACAATATTCAGGAGGTTACGAGCAATATGCTTCATTATCAATTTCACTCATCTTCGGAAAGTACCGTTACGTTTAATTTTCAAGATGATCTCGTTCGCATCGCTCAATCACGTCCTGGTTGAAGTTCGTTCGCTACGCTCACTCACCTTTGGGTTGGAGCTCGTTCGCTGCGCTCACTTGCCTTTAGGTTGGAGCTCGTTCGCTACGCTAACTCGCCTCCAGGTTAGCTCGTTCGCTACGCTCACTCGCCTCCAGGTTGAAGTTCGTTCGCTACGCTCACTCACCTTTTGGTTGCAAATTAGCTGTTGTCATAAATGTAAAAGAAATAATAGTGCTGCACCCTGTTGGTAATCCTTGTAACTTTAATGCTATTGAACATCATAGATCAGAACCAATAGTGGGGAGGCGAATGGCCAAAATTCCAAAGTTGGCTCACCCCGAAAGGTAACCGGTGAACACTATGCTAGATGATATTGTATAGTAGTAGAGATGATATTTTGACCGGTGTTCACTCTGTATGAGTGGGACTCTCTTTTCTGGACGCCATTTTCCAAAATGGCGGATGTCACTGTTTGATCTTTGTATAACTCGAGCAAAAATGAACTGATTTTGATGAAATTCGGTATAAACGTTTAAACTTACATTTATTCGAACGGGTTCACGAACCAGCATGATCTGATCATGGGAACGGGGGTTTATGGGGGTTTTATGGGGGGTTTTATGGGGTAAAAATGGAATTTTTTTATTTTTTGCCCCCAAAGCACAAAATTTTCCTATTTTTCTCTAAACCATTTTAAAGAACTTAAAAAAACAAATAATTTAGTATATTAACGTATTTTTGTACCCTTATTGGTTACGGAGAAAATTCAAAAAATTGTTAATTTAAAATTCACATGTTATTCTTATGGAGGATATCGTCAACTCTTGTAGTTTTCTTGTTTATGGATATATTTTGATCATACTTGGTAAACTTATTTATTTATACTAAGATATTAATATTCTACTAACATTCACGCTTTATTAGCCTCCCTGTAACAGCAAACCTAGGTACTCGTTAAACCTAATGTTATTTAAATTGAATTAATTTAAAAACGAATCAGGCAATTGGAAATCCACTTAGTCTGCAGGTTCGCTGTGAGGCGGGTATTTTATTCTTGAAATTTCTTCCTATACCTAGTGGTTCGGGAGATATAAGCAGTTAAAGCTGGGGTTTCCTCCATGTTAATTAGATTGATCCGTTTTAACTGTCACCCTAATGTATCCCGTTGGGCCTCCGCACTTTTCAATATACACAATTTATCTTCTATTTTTAAAATAATGGACCTCAATACAATGTGACATTAAATTAACTTTATTTAATTATTATCAGTTATTACAATAATATTTCTTTAAACATAAATTCTTTACTGTTTCTTATTTAACTTTATTCTATCGTGCTTAGTTTTGTAAAAATTTCGGATTGAACAGAGCGGCAAATCCTCATTTGGAGGGTTCGGCAGGTGTTAGCCACCCGCGGCTGTCGTAGCATCGCATTCGTACTGAAGCTTAGTCATAACCATCGACATATAAAACTAACTAATGTTATAGTTTTATACATCGATGGTCATAACTAAGCTTATACCCCTCTGATATGATCCTTCTACTTCACTTTTATATTCCTTCTACTTTCACGTAATTAGAAGAATTGTTACAGCCAACAGAACCGCATGTTGACATTTTTATGTCAGGTTAATTTACTACAATCCAATTCTATAGGTTTTACACTAACACAGTGCAGTCTCTATAACTCAAATTAAATGGTGTAGCCTAATACAGAAACTAATTTTATATCGGTTTTAATCATTTTCTTGTTGTTTATTATTAATGTATATGATTTATTCATGTTGTAATTTATATGCAAAGCCCTTAACAAACACATCTTCATTTAAAAAGGTTGTCGTGTGATACATCAGAGTAATCTTTGGACTACTACAGGCATATGTAATGTGTTAGCATAGGTAAGGTAGCTGCGTGTACAAATTTACCAAAACAGAAAATTAACTAAAAAATTTCCAAATATGCATTTTAGTACAATTTGACCCACACATTCATTTTTTGAAAAATAAATTGGACCAACATTGTACAACGGGTTGTTTGTTGCCTATCCACCAGTATGGTGTAAAACGTTCTCAAAGGCAATATCCAATGAATCTTATCTATCGATTTCGGTACATTGCAGTCAAGAATGTACTGTAAATCAGGCTGAGGTAGACTTGTCAAGGCTATTACATAGAATTGTCAAGATTAAGAACAATTTAGGGCTTGTTTGTTGAGCCATTTTCTATAGAGAGAGTGAAAAGCATAAATAAGAGAAGCAAATGGTAAGTAAAGAAAAAAGAGATGGCAATTGCTTATAACGATGGTTTAAATTCATGAGGTTTATTGATCAATAACATTTACTCATGTTTTTATTTTGTAAGCTATAATATTTTTTTATAAAAAAATGTATTTGTAAATAAGGTTATTTGTTTATATCAATGCTCACTCCGCTCAATTGGCAGACAAGAGGCCGCATACCAAGTATTTTAATGCATCGGGCGAATCTGAGATGTGCCTGATAATCTAGATTTGTTATTATATGTCAAGTCAAAAGTGTAATGAAATAGCACAGGAAATACATTAGGATTAGGTTGACAGTTAAAACGGATCAATGTAATTAACATGGAGGAAACCCCAACTTTAACTGCTTATACAGTATCTCCTGAACCACTAGGTATAGGAAGAAATGTCAAGAATAAAATACCCGCCTCACAGCAAACCTGCAGACTAAGTGGATTTCCAATTGCCTGATTCGTTTTTAAATTAATTCAATTTAAATAACATTAGGTTTAACGAGTACCTAGGTTTGCTGTTACAGGGAGGTTAATAAAGCGCGAATGTTATTAGAATATTAATATCTTAGTATAAATAAATAAGTTTACCAAGTATGATCAAAATATATCCATAAACAAGCAAACTACAAGAGTTGATGTTATCCTCCATAAGAATAACATGGGAATTTTGAATTAACACTTTTTTGAATTTTCTCCGTAACCAATAAGGGTACAAAAATACGTTAATATACTAAATTATTTGTTTTTTTAAGTCCTTTAAAATGGTTTAGAGAAACATAGGAAAATTTTGTACTTTGGGGGCAAAGAATAAGAAAATCCCATCTTTACCCCATAAAACCCCCATAAACCCCCGCTCCCATGATCAGATCATGCTGGTTAGTGAACCCGTTCGAATGAATGTAAGTTTAAACGTTTATACCAAATTTCATCAAAATCGGTTCATTTTTGCTCGAGTTATACAAAGATCAAACAGTGACATCCGCCATTTTCCAAAATGGCGTCCAGAAAAGAGAGTCCCACTCATACAGAGTGAACACCGGTCAAAATATCATCTCTACTACTATACAATATCATCTAGCATAGTGTTCACCGGTTACCTTTCGGGGTGAGCCAACTTTGTTATTTGACATATTTTACTAAATTTGCCTCCCCACTGAGTTTTTTTCAACTTTACATCACTCGAGAAGTAAGGAAGTTGTATACATCACGCTTGGGATAGGGAAGTTTAACATGGCGGGTTAGGTAAATTCAGTTTAAATTAGGTTTCCAAGTACGACCCCTATATCCTAAAAAAAACTTATTTTAAAAGTCCCTGTTATGTATGGTATTAAGAGGTAAAATTGTGAGAAATACCTTTAGATCCTAAAACTGAAGATCCATTAGGGTTTTGGTAGAACAGGAACAAGATGAGCAGAGAAGCGATGGCTCTGGCCAGAGTGACGAGAATCGAAGGACCACAGATGAAAGATGATGTTGAGAAATGACTATTGTTGTGTAGTATGTAATTCTTCACTGATTTAAATTAAAACTCTTCTTCATTAATAAAAAGAAAGCAATTCACTACTCATGAATATTCTGGACTGTACACGAAAATTTACAACACATTTACTTTAAATAAAAATATCTTCTTGGATCCTAGCTTGACACTTGGTACTATAAATTTGGAATCCATATTTAAATGAGAAATGATGAAATAATGCACTTGGAGCGGTAAGAGAGAAATAGAGATTAAAATATTTAATATGAACTAAACCAAAAGGTAAGCACTGTGTACTGTGAGAGAGGTGAGTCTAAACTGCACTGACTAGTACGAAGTGCTGTAGTGAACTTTGGACAGTGATGTCATCATATCAGCTGTTGTATCCTTTCAATAACTGAACTAAAAACTTGACTTGAATGTTAATACTACTTGATTAATTGTTTATATTTGACTGTATATAGTTCATATGTTATTAAATAAATATTTTATTAAATGTCCTTAGTTGAATTACTAAATATTTAACATACCGGCCCCCCCTGAACCCCTGGGTTCTGAAAACAACACAAAAAATGAGAAAATCAATAAAAAAGGGGGGTGGTAACTCCTCTTCACTATTCCATAGGAAGGACAGACACCTTTGTCACAGGACGAGAGAGGTGTCCACTTGCGGTCTTCAGGTGCACGACCCGTACTATTCCATCAGTACCAGGTGAAACGGAGAGAACTCGTCCAAGCTTCCAGGAGAGTGGAGGCAAGTTGTCTTCATGAATGACAACCAAGTCATTGACTTCAATATTCTTCTTGGGGTTGACCCATTTATTTCTCTCTTGAAGAGTGTACAGATACTCTTTCTGCCAGCGAGCCCAGATATGTTGACTGAACTGTTGGACTAACTGCCAGCGTTTTAATCGGTTGATAGGAATGCTACGCAAGTCAGGTTCAAGAGGTGTCATAAGAGGACCACCAACTAAAAAATGACCTGGCGTCAAAGCTTCTAGGTCCGAGGGATCAGAAGAAAGAGGAGTTATAGGCCTAGAGTTCATCATTCCTTCAATACGGGTGATTAAAGTCGAAAACTCTTCCAGTGACAGGGTCTGTTGTCCAATGACTCTTATTAGGTGAAATTTCACACTTTTGACGGCCCTCTCCCAAAGGCCTCCCTGATGAGGTGCATGTGGAGGTAAGAAGTGAAATTTAATATTGAAATTCTCAGCGTAGCATTGTACTGTGGAATCCTTGATTAAATTTTCAAAGTTGCGTCTGAGTTTTTCGGATGCACCTGTGAAATTTGTAGCATTGTCACAGTGAATATCTGAAACGATTCCTCGTCTGGAGACAAATCTGGTAAGAGCGGCTAAATAGGCATCCGCTGTTAGGTCGGTTACTACTTCTATGTGTACCGCCTTAGTAGAGAAGCAAATAAATATACAAATATAAACCTTGATAGGTTGAACTCGTCTTAGTAGATGTTGCTTCACAAAGAAGTGTCCTGCATAATCTACACCAGATATGGAAAATGGCCTTGAAGGTGTAACTCGATTCATAGGTAATTCCCCCATGAGTGGAGAAGAATGAGGAGGTTTACATCTGAAACATTTTATGCATTTAAAGATCCTAGATCTTATTAAGCTTCTAGCACTGAGAATCCAGTACTTGTTTGCCAGCATAGCCTGAGTTAGAGTTGGACCAGAGTGCAAATATAAGACATGATGGTGGTCAATCAAAATATCAACTAACCTATGACCTTTAGGTAGCAAGACGGGGTGTTTGTGATCTTCAGAGATATCAGCCTTGTTTATTCTTCCCCCTACTCGAATGAGGCCATCTTTATCCAGATAAGGAGCTAGGCGTCTAATGCGTACAGAGCAAGGTTTATTGGATTTCAAACATGAGATTTCTTCAGAAAAATATTCTCGTTGAACCAATTTACAAATCAGGTTATGAGCCTCTTTTATCTCCTGAGAAGTTAAATTCCCAATTTGTTTAACTTTATTTCTGGTGTTATGAATGAAGCGCAGCAGGTATGCGGAAACATGAAGTAGTGTTGTCCAAGATGAGAAGCGAGTGAGGAGAGAAAATGGTTCATCCGGAACAGCAGAGAGAGTGTTAACTGTGAGAATCTTAGTTTCAGGGATAGACTCTTCAGGTAAAGATTTACAGACAGACTTTGGCCAATTTTCTTCAGAGTTACACAACCAGACAGGTCCATTCCACCAAAGTGTGTGGTTAATCAAATCTTGTGGGGCGGTACCCCTTGACCCAACATCCGCTGGATTTTCTAGTGATGAAATATGTTGCCAAAATGAAGGTGGGATATTTTCCTGTATTTCTGCAACTCGATTTGACACATAAACCTTGAGTCGATAAGAGGGCATGCCAATCCATGAAAGCACGATTGTGGAATCGCACCAAGCTGTGTATGAACTAATCTTGCAGTGAGGTGAGAGAAGTTGTATACAGTAATTTAGGAGCTTAGACATCAGGTGTGCTCCGCAGAGCTCCAAGCGAGGTATGGAAATACGCTTCAGAGGTGCGACTCTTGACTTCGCTATCAGAAGATAAGTCGATATAATTCCTTGTGAATTTACAACTCTCAGGTAAACACAACTACAATATCCTGCTTCACTTGCATCAGAAAAAGCATGTAGCTGAATATCTTTAGCTGAAGAAAGTCCCACGTAGCGAGGTATCTTGAGCATTTCAATATATGGAAGTTCATTGGCGAACTTGTTCCAAACTGATATAACGCTGTCGTCTAGGGGTTCATCCCAATCGAGACCAAGTGTCCATAAGTATTGCATGAAGGATTTGGACCAGAAGGTTACAGGAGTTAACCATCCTGACGGGTCATAGATCTGTGATATCACACTTAAAACAATTCTTTTTGTAGGAGTTTCCTTAATATTTTGAGTTCCTACAGAATAAGAAAAAACATCTTCATTAGGAATCCATTTAAGTCCTAAAACACTATGAACTGGTTGTTCGGGAGCTCGAAAACCAATAGGTTTTTCTTTGTGATCTTCAGGGATCGACTGTAAGAGTAATGGATTATTCGAAGACCATTTTCTTAACTCGAAACCTCCTTTTTTGAGTAACTGAACCACATCATTTTTCAACAAAAGAGCGTTTTCTACGCAATTACTACCCAATAGGGCGTCATCGACATAAATCTGATCCTTTAGAGCAGTTGCGGCTAGAGGATGATTTTTTCCTTCATCAATAATGAGTTGTTGAATGACACGATTTGCCAAGTAGGGCGATGATGTGAGCCCATAAGTGACAGTCGCTAGCTGATAGATTTGAAGAGGCATTTTATCATTCTCTCTCCAGAAAATAAGTTGAAATATCTGATCAGATTCCTTTACAAGGACTTGTTGAAACATCTGCTTGATGTCGCATGAAAAAACAACCGCATGTCGGCGAAAGTTGAGAATGATGTCACATATGTTGTTGTGGAGTTTTGGTCCTTGATGAAGAATACTGTTGAGAGACAGAGATGTTGATGTAGGTGCTGATGCGTTGAATACTACCCTTAATTTTCCATCTTTAAAAATTCCATGATGTGGAAGGTAGTAATGAGGATTATTTTTAAGACGTGGTGACTGACAGAGTGTCATATGTCCCGAAGACAAGTAATCTCTCATAAAATCAACATAAGTTTCCTTGAAATCAGGATTAGAACGAAATTTATTCTCCAGAGACCAGAATAGGGATTTTGCCATTTTGCTCGAGTTGCCTAATGTTGACGGATCGTCTGAGAAAGGCAAAGAGACAATATATCTTCCTTCAGGAGTGCGAGAGTGCGTAGATACAAAATGTTTTTCACATTTTTCTTCGGCTAAGGATTGCTTGCTTGTAAGTGGGGGTTCCTCTACAGCCCAAAACTGTTGGATAGAGGTGTGAAGATCCAAACTTTTGGTGGTTAAGAGTGTGACTAAGCCATGAAATGAATTTTTGCAAGTTGAGGCAACAGGGGTCGATCCTAAGAGCGCATATCCAAAAATGGTGTCAATTGCTACAGGCATATTCTCACCAAGTGACAAAAACTGGCCTTTCACAGAGGAGGCAAAAAGGTCAGCTCCAATTAGAACATCAATAGGAGCGGGTTTATCAAAAGTAGGATCGGCTAACATTAAATGTTGCATCTGTGAGCGAACTTCAGGAGTGATCTTAGCTCGAGGTAAATCTGGAGTGATATTATCCAAAATGAAGACAGGGTGAGAGCTTGGCAATACATATCCACTAAGGGACTGGAGAGTGACATGAGTTAACCCTTTTGTTTTCACCTGAGCAGACGAGATGCCATTAATAAGCGTTTTATTAGCATGAGAGCGCTTAATCCCTAAAGACTGAGCACATCTTTGAGTAATGAAGGTAGACTGAGCAGCAGAATCTAAAACTCCCCTACAAACTAGGGTCTTACCTTCGCTTGATTTTACCACAATTAAAGCAGTGGCAAGAAGAACTGTGTTCTCTGTATTTGTCAAACCAACAAAACCAGATTCATTTTTATTTGAGTCAGAACTTGGAGCTCGTTTGTCTGTGTTACCTTTAGACACATTAGGAGAGGGATTATTTTCAGAATCCATAAAATGCAAAAGAGAGTGATGTTTTCTTTTACACGTAGAACATGTACGCCATGAATTGCATTCCTTTACCTTATGCTTATCGCCAAGACAGTTGGTGCACAAATTTTTGCCTTTAACAAAATTATACATTTCTTGTGAAGTCAATTTAAGAAAACCTTTGCATTGATAGATTTTGTGATCTGCACCTGCGCAAAATGTACAAACAGTGCGAGGAGTTGCAATAAGCGCCGATTTATTTGAGCGCTGAGGGGGTTTTACTTGAGTGTGGTGGCCTAAGGTACCCTTAAGAGATGATCCCACATTAGTAAGATTAGCTGCTTCAAGATTTACGCAGTGAGACTCAATGTACTTGGTTAACTCATCTAACTTAGGAGTTACAGAGTTATCACTTCGACTCTGTTCAAAATGATGGCGAAAATCAGAATCAAATTTTCTTAACAAGTGAGAGGTCAAAATTAAATTTTCCTGAGAAATTTCTTCATCTAGAGCTTTAAGTGCTTCAATGTTTTCATTTAAAACAGACAAAAACCTTCTAAGTTGCTTCACTGAGGGATTGTGAAGAACTGGTAAGTCTAACACATTGTTGACATGAAGAGAGATTAGTAATCTTGTATTCTGATACCTTTTAAGTAGAGATTCCCATGCAATAAAATAATTAGCATTAGTCATAGGGATGTTTTTAACAACTGAAAGTGCCTCTCCCTCAAGACAGCTTAACAAATAACTCATTTTTTCAACACCAGAAATACTATCATTTTTATGAATAGTATTTTCAAACAAATTTTTGAACGCCATCCACTTTTCATGTTGACCTGAGAAGGTACCAAGTTGAAGTTTAGGAAGCTGTACACTAACCTTAGTTGTAGCTACTTGGCTGATAGCTGCATTGGAATCATCCAGGTTTGGCTGGCTCGACTGGTTAGAGCTTGGGGAAGGTATCAAGTTCACACACAAAGAGTGAATAGACACATAGAGATCACTTATTTCATCTTGTAATGTTGAAATTGTAGTGATATTTTCACTTTCATCTAATTCCTCAGGTAAAGGCACAGTGCCGAACAACTTATTCACTAATTTGTCAAAATCATTATTTTTGGCTGTAGCGGTGGAATCCAAAAGAGTGAGCTTTGTTATAAGTTGAGGAGTGATAGGTTCCTTTTCGATAGCAAGCACTTTTGCTTCAATTGACTTAAGCCTGGCTAGCACAAGCTCAGATTGCTTCACAAAAGTTGAGAACCTCATTTTGAATAAGTCTTAAATTCAATAAAATTCCAAAATAAAAATAAATGCAGATTAAAATAAGTTTATAATGAGCAAAACTTATTTAAAGACAGCCAGGATTCATTGTATTAAATATTAATATTAGTCAACTTGAAATCAGAGAGAAATATTCAGCCATAGTATAGGCCTATAAAAAGTTTAAGTCCCAGAAAATATCTACCTGCAATTATTTCCAGATAATAAATTTGAAATTCAATAAAACATGTTATTTCAAACACAAACTGTAATTAAATGTTCAATCCGTATTAATAAACATTCTTCTGTCACTTTAATTTAAAAGTGTAAGCAAACAATTGAGGTTATGAAAACATAAACAAAGTCTTGCATAATGACATTTAAGTTTTCATTTCTATCCATCAGCAGCGCTAGTGTTGATCAGCTGTGAAGTTGGTATGACTTCCATGATTTTCTGAATATTCAGCAACAAGAGAGAAACTTGTTTCACATTACAGGGGGGAGAGAGGGGGGCAGACAGGATGCAGCCCGATAATGCACAATAGAGAATAGACAAACTATGCATGAAAATACAGGAGTTGTAGACAGTACAGTCTGAGAACAAAATTTTCTGTCTGGGACAACAAAACTTTATGTGTTATTTCACAAATTACTGCAACAATTTAATAAATTGATAATAATGTGATCAAAAATATTTAATCCTCTTGTTAATGATACTTAATGTTGATGACAGATTTATTCAATTAATTTATTCAGTTCAAATGAATACAAAACTTAATAGTCACAGTAGATTATTTTCCATAGGCTGGGAAACATCCGGCTCGAAGGACCATGTTATGTATGGTATTAAGAGGTAAAATTGTGAGAAATACCTTTAGATCCTAAAACTGAAGATCCATTAGGGTTTTGGTAGAACAGGAACAAGATGAGCAGAGAAGCGATGGCTCTGGCCAGAGTGACGAGAATCGAAGGACCACAGATGAAAGATGATGTTGAGAAATGACTATTGTTGTGTAGTATGTAATTCTTCACTGATTTAAATTAAAACTCTTCTTCATTAATAAAAAGAAAGCAATTCACTACTCATGAATATTCTGGACTGTACACGAAAATTTACAACACATTTACTTTAAATAAAAATATCTTCTTGGATCCTAGCTTGACACTTGGTACTATAAATTTGGAATCCATATTTAAATGAGAAATGATGAAATAATGCACTTGGAGCGGTAAGAGAGAAATAGAGATTAAAATATTTAATATGAACTAAACCAAAAGGTAAGCACTGTGTACTGTGAGAGAGGTGAGTCTAAACTGCACTGACTAGTACGAAGTGCTGTAGTGAACTTTGGACAGTGATGTCATCATATCAGCTGTTGTATCCTTTCAATAACTGAACTAAAAACTTGACTTGAATGTTAATACTACTTGATTAATTGTTTATATTTGACTGTATATAGTTCATATGTTATTAAATAAATATTTTATTAAATGTCCTTAGTTGAATTACTAAATATTTAACAGTCCCTATATTTAAATGCTAATACTATTTAATATTAACTACTATATTTAACCTATGCTCATGGATTTATACAACTAGCCACGGTATAGTTATATTTATGGTTATCAAATTATTCAATATATCAATTACGTTAGAATTTCCCAACATTTTGCCATTTGATAGTTTTAAACAATTATTTTAGTTTTTAAATAGGTGATTGTGTTAAACTAAAGTATTCAGCTGCAGTAGCCATGACACAGGAGGTATGCTTGTTTGAGTGATACACCATCGACGATTGCTAAATTGAAGTCAACACATATGATACGCTTGTGTTCTGCATATTGATTGTAATGGCTGATTGGACAAGGCTTCCATTGTATTGAGCACTACCATAGGGTGATAAAGTTATAGCTCAGACGGTATTATAAACTCAATAAACAACACATAATTTACTGTAAAATACCCCCGTCGCAGCAAATCAGCAGACTAAGCGAAATTTCATTTCCTGATTTGATTTACACTTAAATATTTCCTTAATTAGGAAGGTATTATGGTGTGTTTTGGTTAGCTTGGAATAGAATAGTTAAAATTACCATATTTGATCGAAATGCATTCATAAGAAAGCTATTTATATAAGTTTAATTATCATCATATTACCATCATATTAAAACGTGACAGGGTTTTTTATTTCACGATTCTGAATCAACCACTTGACGGATCTTCATGAATTTTGAAGATTAAAGAAAGATAATTTTCCATAGTTTTGAAAATTCATCTTTCTTTAATCTTGTTCGATTAAAGACAGGTAAGTTTCAAAACTATGGAATGTTTAAGCCATAATTTTAGTTTAGGGTTTCAGTTTTTTAGAAATTAAGTTTTAAAATTCAAAAGGTCTTGCAGCCAACCCAGCCAATCACTAGTTGAATACAACTACTAATTTATGATTTGAAATGTTGATAAATTTACACCTACACCTTGAAGGGCGATTTACCTACTCAAACAGGCTACAATTATCAAAAAGTAGTATATTTACAATCAATTTTCATAAACTGGTTCATCTCTTGTTTACAATCTGACTGTGGATAAACGTTCACTGAGGCATCAGCTGTTACATTTTATTCTATATTCACACCAGTATACAGAAAGTTGATCAGCATCACTAAATCTTTTGAAGTGAACTGTAGAAATAAATAAAACAAAAAAAGGGGGAATCCCTAAAACGAACTTTTAGGTAACATTCGTCACTCCGCTAGATGATACCTCAATCGTAAACATTGGTAAAGAAGGACAGCTTAAAAGGGATGTAACAGCGAAACCCCGGAGGTCATTCTACTATGGACATATGAATTGGAACGGAAGGTGGTTTCGGCCTCTGGGGACATCAGAATGAAATGTAAATCCGTTCAGGGTCCAGGTCTTACAATGAGACCTACGATAATGTATTATCTTGTATGGAAAATTCACTAAAAGCATAGATTAAAGGAGTGTCTACTCATTTAATCTATGCTTAAAGTGACGTGCCCAAAAATCACACCTTCCTAAAAGCTCGACAGTTTATTTTTATTTTACTGTAGGACTACTATTTTCCTGTTACATAAAGAATATGTAAACCATAAGTTAGAAGACAGTTGTGCCTTGTTTATACACTCATTTAATGCTTATACTTAAAATAATAATAACTTAAGCATATAGGGTTTGGCAACCTTAAGAAATTGAAAACTAACAGTCGTGGATGAGTATAATTCTGTTAAAATATAGGTTATAGACTCCTGATATAATCTTATATCTTACATCTAATTTTATAATATATATAAAATAAGGTAAATCGTGAAAAATCGTTGAAACATGTAGCCTATAGAAGATTAAAACGTGATTCAATGAATGATCTAACGTGCCATGGATTAAACATCAATTTGTTAAATAAGCAATGTGATGATTCTGCTTCAATTGAGAGGATTCCCCGTTTCATTTCTAGACTATTTCCGACGCCAACCATTGAAGACCCCTCCAAACCCTCCCTAACCTTTACATTACTATCGTGATAGGTTTGATAGTTTTAGTTTACACAAATTTTAATTGACAGTAATTGTGATCCAAATACTAAAAAAAAAAAAAACACCTCAACTTGTATATGAGTTAATCTTTTGTATAGTTACAAGTATTGAATGTAAATAAAATTACGTAAATCTTAATAAAAAAAACATTAAAATATTCGAAAAAAAACTAATTTAACACTAAACATTGTTGAATTGAAATGGAATTTTATTGTATTTTTAGTTGTGGTTTAAATCTAGTTTTGAAATTAAACTCAAATGATGAAATACATATCATCACAAGAATTGGATATGTTTTCATTTAGTTACAGGAAACCGCCATCAAAGGCAATTAATTGATCTCATGAATCTTTATTTATCGCCCAAACACTATAGTTTATCCTTTCGTCTTAAATCTTCACTCCTGCGTGGGTCTTGTTTAAACATTTTTTGAGTATTGACATATTGGTTCTGTTTCACGACCTATTGGTTGTTACAAGGTGGAGCTAAGTTACGATGTACATATTTCACGACAGCCAGGAAAAGTGTACAGTCACGCCACCCTGCAACGTTGTAGAGCTGTGTTTGACATCATAGTGATAGTTACAAGGCAGCACTCAGGTAGAGTTTACAATGTACATATATCACGACAGCCAGGTTAAGTGTTTAGTCTCGCCACCCTGCAACGTTGTAGAGCTGTGTTTGACATCATAGTGATATTTACAAGGCAGCACTCAGGTAGAGTTTACAATGTACATATATCACGACAGCCAGGTTAAGTGTTTAGTCTCGCCACCCTGCAACGTTGTAGAGCTGTGTTTGACATCATAGTGATAGTTACAAGGCAGCACTCAGGTAGAGTTTACGATGTACATATTTCACGACAGCCAGGTTAAGTGTCCAGTCACGCCACACTGCAAAGTTGTTGAGCTTTGTTGGATATCGTAGTGATAGTTACAAGGCAGCACTCAGGTAGAGTTTACGATGTACATATATCACGACAGCCAGGTTAAGTGTTTAGTCTCGCCACCCTGCAACGTTGTAGAGCTGTGTTTGACATCATAGTGATAGTTACAAGGCAGCACTCAGGTAGAGTTTACAATGTACATATATCACGACAGCCAGGTTAAGTGTTTAGTCTCGCCACCCTGCAACGTTGTAGAGCTGTGTTTGACATCATAGTGATAGTTACAAGGCAGCACTCAGGTAGAGTTTACAATGTACATATATCACGACAGCCAGGTTAAGTGTCCAGTCACGCCACACTGCAAAGTTGTTGAGCTTTGTTGGATATCGTAGTGATAGTTACAAGGCAGCACTCAGGTAGAGTTTACGATATACATATTTCACGACAGCCAGGTTAAGTGTCCAGTCACGCCACCCTGCAACGTTGTTGAGCTGTGTTGGACATCGTAGTGATAGTTACAAGGCAGCACTCAGGTAGAGTTTACGATGTACATATTTCACGACAG